TCAGTCCATCCACAATCACGTTGGTATTCCTGATGAGTTACTGCATCTAATCCCACTCTCCTTCAGCCCGGGGATTTCCAACTGGTCACTCGGTGGCACAAGATCAAAAAGAGAAAGGAGCAACAGAACTGCACAGTTATTTAGCTCTATTGAAAACAAAGCCATATGCCCAAAGTATTTCACGGATCTCTAACAACTTTGTTCTTTAAACTGTGGTAAATGTCGCTCCTGCCCCTTATTTTTATTGAGCCTACGTGACACGACACCTACCGGCGATAATAATTTGCATTCGATATAGTGCTTATCATGTCATTGAGATATCTCAATTGGACTTTCCTACCAACTGCCCAATCCATCCTACACTCTCACTGGGCAATCCTGACGACTGTCTAAATCAGGTGGGACAGGTGAGTGGTCCAAAGGGAGCACATGCTCACTGTGATCCCGTTGCGGAGGGGGGGTGAGCGAGAATGGGGAGGGGGGAGAGGAAACCTTCATCCTTCCTGGATATCAACAAAATGATTTGGTGTCTACAAAAGAGCTCCACTGGTGAAGGGGCAAAGACAAAGTAGGGTTTTCCTGGTCCTGAAGGTATTATCTTGAAGATGAGAGACCAAAACACTGATAGAAAAGGGAGAGGTTTTTTTCTTGGTACCATGGCCAACAGTCCTTTGAATAAATTGGTCATTTATCTCTTAAGTTTCCTCACAAAATAAACGGTCCCTCCACTTTACAGTATATCCTGTGAAGAGCTTTGAGATGTCTCGATAACCTGAAAGGTGCGGTATCAAACGCAAGAGTTTTTTTGTATTCTATTTGTGCCGATTTAAAAACTGTAAGGCTGTTCCAAAAGGGGATTTAAAAGAGAATTTAGGAGGAGCTACGTCACGCAGAAGGTAGTGAGACTGTGGGACTCGCGGTCTGGAGTGGTGGTTTGAATCAGATGCGGCTGCTGTATACATGTAGATGTATTCGAGAGGAAGCGAGACTTTCACACGAGGGAGCGGGGAGTTGAAGGGTGTGGGAGGGAGTAAGGAATGTGTGAAGGCTTGTGTGGAATATAAACACTGGCACAGACTGGGCTGAGTGGCCTGTTTCTGTGCTGTACATTCTTTGTAAGTGATTAACTATAAAATGTAAGTTCTTTGTTTACTTCTACATAATGTATTTGAAAAATGTCTCGATAAGATGGGGCATTATCTACATTGCTTTCTTTTCTGAGCTTGTACAGTGGAGGTATGTGTGTGCTGCATTATGTGTGTGTGTGTGTGTTGCACTGGGCATGTGGTGTTCCTGCTCAATGTATTGACTGTTCCTTTAAATGTTCTGGTCACACTCGAGAAGCTCGGACCCTTCTTGCCTTTTGTGCATACCTTGGCTCAGCCAGGAGCAAGGAGTGCTTAACAGTCGAGGTTCGCAAATCAGTGGACTGGTTCTACCAGCTTTGTCTTGAGAGAACTGGCAGTGAATCCACCTTCTGCATTCCTCTTCTTAAAATGTTCGTCTCGACAGTCAGCTAGGAACTTGGTTTAATGTTTCATCCACAAGAATGCTTCCCACCCCCCCGTCCCCCCCAGTCTTTTGTGTGCTTTGCAACACATGAGAGGCCATTCCTCCCATTAAGCCTATACTGGTGCTAATGCCTCCACTGGAGCGCTCTACTTTAGTCCTATTTTCCCTTTTCCCCCATAGCTGCCCAACGGAGCCTCTAAATCGATTTTATGCGTGAAATGGTTACTTTGAAATGTTTTGGCATCACCTACATGCATTAAAAAGCAAGACATTGAAATTTCAATTCCCCGCTTTTCCCCATTTTGTGCTCCACTATCCTTGGGCCAGTTGTGTGGCTCAGACCCCCCCAACCTGTCCTGTAGCTTAGCGGTTAGAGCACTCGCCTCGCAAGGTTCCCAGACGGGGCGAAATATTGGGCAAGTTTCCTTGCCTCAACACGCCTTTTAGCAGTGGGTAGGAACCTGGTTGTTAGTCAATTGACGGATCACTTTTTCAGGAGAAAAGCATAATAAAAATATAGTCACTCAATCCACGACTGCTGTGCGCAATTAGCTGCCGCATCTCTCCCACAGAATAGCCAATTCACTTTACCTTATATTCTGTGAAGCGCTTCGAAGATGTGATAATGCACTATGTCAAATGCAAGGATTATTATTATAACCATCTCACCCAGAGGGCTCATTGCTGTGAACCGAGTGAGCCACGGGCTTATTGACCACTTTGAAATGCAGGGTGAATTTGTGCAATAAAGTCTGGTGGCGGCAATGCAGTTTATCACAAGAAGTAAGTGGTGTAACTAGACATTTTAGTCATTTATTGGAGGTGGTGGTGGGGAATCCACTTCCTTATCTCTTGAGGGCTTTATTTGCATCAAATATGCAACGGAGGATGTGGCTGAAGTCCAAGTGAGGTAATGGAAATGGAATCTGACCCTCAGGATTTTTGAACCTTAGACTAGACATGAAAATGGAATTGAATATGTTGTCAAAGCAAATCTTATTCTGTAACGCTGTCAGAGGTTAAATGTCTTGTCAGATGTTGTGTATCTTGTGCTGAATGAGTGGAGACGATCCACACTCGTAGCACTTCTCTGTTCTCCCTCTCTCCACCTTTCTTTCTCCCTTTCTTCCCCTCTCCCTGCACCTGAATTTTTTTTTCCCCTCTACATTGAGATTTTTAAGCACTCTGAGATGCTGCCGTGCGTGAAGGGCGCTATGTAAATGAAGTTGATGTTGTTAACTACATCTGTGTCATCCTGACCATTGGATGTATCAGTCCTGTTCTCTGACTGGTCAATCAATGCGAAAAATTCAGAGGAACTTCCCTCTCATTCTGTCGCAGAACTTTTGATATTCACCTCTTCGCGATTTGCTGCCGCATTTCGCCACAAAATATAGTCAATTCACTTTATAGTATTCTGTGACGCGCTTTGAGACGGACTTTACAGTCCAGATTAACACAGGAGGAGTGGGGGGACGGGGAGAAAGAGGGCAGTGCTGACAATCTGCCTTCCTACAAACGAGACTTTGAAAAGGGTGCGCTGTTTGCCTCTTCGTATTTAAAAATACTACAAAGTTATTGGAAAAGAGAAGGGAGTTTCTCCCAGTCACTTAGCCAACAAACCTCCAGATAAAATTGGTCATTAACTTTTTAATGACTTTTGTGGGACTTTGCCGTGTGGAGATTGTCTAGAAATAGTCGCTACACTTAACAATCCCCGTGAAGCACTTTATATCGACCAGACAGGAGCCATACTCTTCGGCTCTCGTCAATGTCTTCTCTCCCGTGGGTCTGAACTCCTCAACCTCCCTCAGCTCACCCGCAGACTCTCCGAACCCACGCGCAACTTAGGCGTCAGGTTCAATCCCTAGTTTTCCTTTCTACCACACACCTATTCCCTAACCAGGACCACTTTTTTCCATCCCGATCATATTACCTGCCTCCGTCCATAATCTCACAACCGAAGCAGCTGAAAACTTCGTCCTCGCTGTTGTCATTTTCCAGCTCTTTACTGGTCTCCCCGGTTCCAACATACAGAATATCCAATTAATTTGAAACTCCGCTGCTTGCACGCACGAAACTCCATACCTCCATCACACCGGTCCTTCCCAGGCGCCACTGGCTCCCAGTTACCAAACGGATCGATTTCAAAATCATCTCACTCGTTTTCTAATGCCTTCGTGCCCTCACATCTCCCTACCTGTCTAACCTGCTTACCCCCCCACCCCCCACCTCAATCCATCGCCGACTGCCTCCGCTCGGCTGGCTCCGGTCTCCTTTTTGTCCCTCGTCCCCTCTGTTCCCCCGTCGGTGGCCGTGCCACTACTCCTGGAACTCAATCTCTCCACCTTGCCCCTCCCTCCCCACTTTAAAATCCCACCTGAAGACCTTCCTTTTTGATCGTGATTATGCTTTGCTCCCTCTCCCCTTGGCCTGTTGTCAGACTCCGCCACTGTGAAGCTGTCCGGGACGCAACCCGTGTGGAGGACGCTATATAAATGCGAGTTTATACAACTCACTACAACTCACCAAGCCATTCAGGAACCTCGGTGTTTTGTTCGACCCTCAACTGTCTTTTCTCCCCCACATTCAAGCCATGACCCGCTCTGCCTTCCCTCACCTCCGTAACGTCGCTCGACTCCACCACTACCTCACCCCTCAGGCCGCTGAAACACTTGTTCATGCCTTCATCACCTCCAGGCTGCAAATGCTCTGCTCGTCAGCCTTCCCAACTCCTCCCTCCACTGCCTGCAGATAATCCAGAACTAACTCTGCAGCCCATGTCCTCTCCCGCACCAAACTCCATGACCCCATCTCCCCCACTCTCATCTGACTTCATTGGCTCCCTATCCCTCAGAGGATCCAGTTCAAGATCCTGGTCCTCACCTACAAAGCCCTCCATGGCCTCGCCCCACCCTACCTCTGCGACCCCCTACCACCCTCCCACTCCATCTACTCAGCCGGCTCTGGCTGCTCCACGTCCCCTGACCCACCCGCCCCACCATTGGTGGGAGAGCCTTCAGCCACTCTGCCCCCAACCTCTGGAATTCCATCCCCCAATCACTCCGCCTCGCCCCCTCCTCAACCTCCTTCAAGTCCCGCCTCAAAACCCTCCTCTTCGACCATGCCATCGACCACCCCCCTTTCCCTCGCCTCCCTTACCCCTCCAACCCCAGCTCAGGTCTGAAATACTGTACTCTGTCCAGCGCCTTGGGCCGTCCTCCCGGCGTGAAAGGCGCTATACAAATGTAATCTTCTTGTTGAGTTGTTATAACATATTTTGATATTATAGGGCTACAAGGAAAGATTTGCAGGGCTATGGAGTAAGAGCAGGAGAGTGGGTTTAGTTGGTAGCTCTTTCCAGAGCCGGCTTGATGGGCCGAATGGCCTCCTTTTGTGCTGTAAGATTCTATGATTCTACATCAAATGCAAGTGATTATAATTCTATACTAAAATAGCTTTGTTTTTCTCTGCTTCTGTTTCTAAAGGTTGCAAAATCAAAGCACTGAGGGCCAAAACCAACACATACATCAAGACGCCTGTGCGCGGTGAGGAGCCTGTGTTTGTGGTTACAGGGAGGAAGGAGGACGTGGCTATGGCCAAGAGGGAGATCATCTCAGCAGCCGAACACTTCTCCATGATCCGAGCATCTCGCAACAAGAGCGGGGCATTGCCTGGGGCCACGACTGGCTTAGCCGGCCTTGCCCTGCCCGGGGCGCCCAGCCTGCCAGGCCAGACCACCATCCAGGTGCGTGTTCCCTACCGTGTAGTGGGGCTGGTGGTGGGTCCCAAAGGAGCCACCATCAAACGCATCCAGCAGCAGACGCACACCTACATCGTCACCCCCAGCCGCGACAAGGAGCCCGTATTCGAGGTGACTGGCATGCCCGAAAACGTGGACCGGGCCCGGGAGGAGATCGAGGCTCACATCGCCGTGCGCACCGGCAACTACATCGAGGTCAACGAGGAGAACGACTTCCACTCCAATGGCACGGACGTGAGCTTCGACAGCGTGGGGCTGGAGGCCGCCTGGGCCGAGATGAATGCTAACGGCCCGGCCCGTAACCGCCTCCTCTCGAGCTACAGGAACGACAGCTCCAGCTCTTTGGGCAGCGGCTCCACCGACTCGTACCTCGCCAACCGCATGGCGGACTTCAGCCCCACCAGCCCATTCAGCGCCACCGGATTCTGGTTTGGGGAGTCGGTGCCCACCGTCAGCTCGGAGGATCTGCCCTTCGACCCTAGCCCTCTCTCCACCGCGCCCCCGCAGCCTGTCATTTGGTGCCCCTTCGAGCAGGCCGGCTTCTCCAGCGAGCCTGCAGTGTCCGGGGGGTCTGTGGCCCGGGACAGCCAGCCCACCACCCCGCGCCTCTCGCCCACCTTCCTGGAGAGCGTAGAGCAGCTGCCACTGGCCCACAGGCCATGCAGTGACCCGCTCCGCCTCTCCGGCTACATCTCCGGCTTCTCCAACGGCAACAGCTACTCCTCCTCGTCCGACAGCAGCCACAGCGCCTCAGGCTCTCCCACAGACTCGTCAGGCTCCGGGCACGGCCCGCGGGGCAAGCGGGACTGTATGGTCTGCTTCGAGAGCGAGGTGATCGCGGCCCTGGTGCCCTGCGGCCACAACCGCTTCTGTATGGAGTGTGCCAACCGCATCTGTGACGAGGAGCAGCCAAAGTGTCCCATGTGCAATACCCTGGTCACTCAAGCCATTCGCATCTACTGCTAGTCGGCAGGACCTACGCAAGTTACAGGATGATTTGGAGAGGTGTGGGGGGGGAGGAGGAGGGAGAGTGCGCGTAGAGACCTGTCTGTAAACCTCCTAAATGTGACTGTTATATATAGGATTAGGCTGCAGGGTTTGTTTCTGTTGGAAAACTTTGGGAATTATTGAGTCTCTTTGTTACGGGCGGGCGGGACGGCAACTCTTTTTGTTTCCATCGGTCTCCGAGTAAACCACACTCAGCATCAGCAGAGAGGGATCCACATTGCGGGAGCCTCGTGAGTAACTATCAGAGGCTTATTTGATGGAATTCGTACAAATTTTTGCATTGTGCCCTCTCTCTCTTCCACCTTCTTAAATCCCCCCCTCCTCTCCCCTTTCCCCTCCCAGAACTTAAATCCCACTCCCCCAGCTCTCTCTATTCCAGAGGGGCCCAGATCTGGAGAAAGGCCCCATCCGAAATATTGCTGTGCTGAAAACAAAATAATAATAACAAATAAAATCAGTGAGAGGCTGCCAGCGTTTCCTCCACATACCCCTGCGCTGTGTGTTGGGAGAATAGCAAATTCACTTTGTATCAGGAGCAAAATTTAAAGCTGGCGAGTGTTTTAGTCCTCTTCCTCCACCTTGCACCGCCCCCCACCCCCGCCCCGCCCCCAGTTGACATCTTCCCCACAATTAAACGGTTCAGAAAGTTAGATGCTGAAAAAACTATAGCAGAACATGTGGTGAATGTCTCTCACTCGGGGAAGTTTATTGCAGGAGTCGGGTCAGTGACGAGACGCCCACAGCCTGGGTTTGCTCCGTGCTGTTTGCCAAGACGGTTTGAAGTTGAGGTTTGTGGTTTCTGCCCCTTTGTGAATGTTAAGAAACAGAGGAGGAAGGACATTGCATTCCCCCTACGCTCTGTAATGAGGTGTGAGCACAGCCATTTTAATTTGTACTTTGGTCTCTCCCTCCCTACCCCTCTCCACCCTCCTCCACCACTGATCTCTGAAGGGATGTGGAAGAGCAGATGAACCCACGTCTCTTTCCGCAACCCCTTGTTGCCACTTTTCTTGCTCCTTTCCCCACACAACCCTTGGCCAGGCAGCAAGCGCTCTGATCTGTGCCTCTCTGCCCACCCAAAACTGGAAACTCGCTGAGTCGGTGGCTGTCGTGTCACCTCACAGCCCCACGTGCGGGTTTGTTTCGGCCTCGTCGTTGGTTAGCAGCACTGAGGGGTATTTCAGTTGTTTACTGCTACGATAGCTGTGAAGTCAAACCAGGGGAAGCTGATGCTGGAATCTCTTCAGGTCACACTGCAGGCTGGGGGGGGGTGTGGGGAGGGGGGAGGCGGGTGTCTGTCCGTTTCTGCGCTTCCTGAACTGGGTTTTTCCTTTTTTTAAAAAAAATACAACACTTGAGAGCTTGGAACGTGCAGCGTCCAAACACTGAACAAACACTGAGCTGAGCCAAGAGGGATTCAGCCATCACAGCGGCCACACAGCTGGAGCTGGCTCCGGCCTTGCAAACGGACAGAGGAACCGTTTAAAACGTTTACATACCCTCCCCTCCCCTCCCCACAGCCTGGCCAATAACCATGTGTGATATATATTTCTATTCTGTCTATATAAATATATATATATTATATATATTCAAAACTACATATAAACCGTGTACCGTGCGTGCGAGCGAGTGGCGCGATGTGGAATTACAATCTGATGTAAGCACTTGTCGGTCGTCAGGATCAGCAGTGACGACTGCTTACATCAGCTGCTGTGAAAACGCATTTGATTCATTAGAGCGGGTTTGGCTGAGCGGCTGCTGGTGAGTGATTGCGGGGGTGGAGAGAGGAGGGTGTTGGATGCTCTTGTCTTTACAGGTTGCCCCTCATGGCACTGGTTGTGAGCTGCTGATAGACAAAGCCAAGACTGTGAATGTGCCTGCGGGGCTCCTGGGCGTGTGTCGAAGGTGTTGTGTAGCTCAAGCGAAGCAAAAAGGGAGTGTAGCCGAGTGGCGTCTCTGCTGCTGCTGGTGGTTTTGTAAACTACTAAACGTTTGTGGATCAGCCACGTTCGGGTTTTCTGAATGAAACCCTCTGTGTGAGGCGAGCTCCGCTCAGCTTTGTGGATTTACTGTTGCATTTTTTTTTCTTTGGGTGTGCTTTGAGACCAGGGGTGTGTCTGAGGTTTAACCAGCGAAAACCGTGCAGCTTGACATTGCTAACAGTGACTGACCGAGCAAGCTTCCTGCTCATCATTGTCTTAATATTTAAGACGGTGCAGAAAATTGGCTTCCATTTTGAAATTGACTATGACTAGTTTTCCAAAATTCCTCCCGGCCGAGTAATGAGCAATTTCAAGTCCTGTGAGGGGGGAGAGAGAGAGAGAGAGAGAGAGAGGATTGTTGCTTGAAATCTGAAACTCCGACATTAAAGTGTCAGCCTGAAACCAATCAATCTTTTAACCCACAAGGACTGAGTCTTACCGGCTCCCAGGGGAGGAGTGGGCTGATCTCGGTGTATTTTCACAACGGTGTGTTAACTGCACGCCAGCTGGTAGCTGTTCAGTAGCCCTTGGAGATGGCAAAAAGCATCTGGTTTCCAAAGGCAAGTAGGAAGGAGCTTCCAACAGCTTTCCCCTTCTCCCAAGTCCTCGAACCGCACCAGACCTTAGTTCTTTCAACCTCTCACATAACATCAGTCCCGCTTCAGGAATGATGCTTTCACTTGAAATGGGTTTGCAAACAAATGATGTGCCTCAATGTGATCCCCTTTGTTGGGAATCTCCCAATACTCATCCCCGCACAGTCCTGATCCAAACAGAAGGTGACGCAGAGGGGAGCACATGAGCCGTTTTCTCTCGCTGAGCCGTGATCTTCACCAGTTTTCTTTTCCCAGTTAGACCCAAGACCCTTCTGCGTTCCTGTAAAGTAACTGGCTCTAATTTTCCCAACTACCCTGTTTAACTTCACACTCGGAAAGGCCGTCATTGTCAGCATGGAGACCAATCCTAATTTAGAAACAACCATAATCCGGATGTTTTCTCTGCAAAACTGAGAGCAGCTCAGGCAGAGAGTGAGGTCCCGCTTCCAGTGGGATCCGGGGATAATTTCTGGGGTGAAACTGGGCTGTGGGGGTGTGGGGGGGGGTGAGGTGGCTGTGTTGCGTAGCCTGGTGCTGTGTGAGCTTGTGTCGTGGGGCCTGTGGGTCGCTGTAGCGTTGTACTGGGACCCTGTACTGGGACGGTCTGGTCTGGCCGGGGGTCAGGTCATCGGTTGAGCTGTTCCTATCAAGTAGTTGCTGAAATCTGCTGTTTTAGTAGGAAGTAGTCACAAGTTTCCCGCCCTACACAGCAAGACGGAGAGCAAGTAGTTGGTGGGTGGGGGAAGGTGGGATTTAATCGCAAGTTAATTGTCCTCAAGCTACGATAATGTAAAGGCTACGGGAATAGATGGGGGGGGGGTGGAACAGTGGAATATTCCCACGCTGTGTCTCGAGGTGCGTAACTTCCTCCCCAAAAACCAGACTGCTTGTGCCCGAGCAGGACGTGTAAATAGAGCTCGCGAGAGAGAATTTTACTTTTTTATTTTGACTTGAAAAGTTACATTTCGTACAGGGGTGGGGTTGGCGCTGTGGGGAGAGAGGGGGGATTCAAATAAAGTTTACACAACAAATAAAGGCTTTTATTTCTATGCTTTTTTTTTTTCCTTTTCCCCCCCCCCCCCCCCTTTCCTGGGGTATCTGCAAATTTGCCTTGAGCGGCGACTTTCTTATCTGACTTATAATGTGTATCGCGTAAACCTTACCGCTGATTGCTTCTAGAATAGTCTATGTCAGTATTAAAAGATAACACAAGCTGCCATCTCGGGACTAGATGATGGTCACTGAGCATGTGATTTTGTAGCGTCCTGCATTGTACACTGCGATGAGAGGCCAGGGGAGTAAGTAGGTCGTGTGATGGGAATATGTTTCTAACCCACAATCTGAGAATGGCAATTTACGAGTAGTTTAGGAATTTGCTAATTTTACTACACCCCGTTTGTTATGTATGTGTAGGGAAGTGATAAGGATTATAAATTCAACCTATTGAGTCGAAACAAAAAGTTTAAAACCATATATTTTATGATAAAATGGCCTTTAACTTAACGTGGCCAAAGCACTGATATTATATATTTGCTGTAAAGAGAATTATAAGAGTTTTATTTTTCTGATATTAAAAAGTTACTTAATAAAGACCGTTTCCATTAAAGTGAACTGTTGTCATCCTGCTTCTTGGTACCAATGCATGAAGTAACGTGGACGTGTGTTTTAGCCTCTACGGAATTCTTCAGGTGAGACGTTAAACCCAGGTCCCATCTGCTTGTTCGGGTGGACGTCAAAGATCCCGTGACGCTATTCGAAAAGAGAAGGGAGTCGTCTCTCTCTCCTGGTGACCAGGTCAACAATCCCCCAAATTAAATTAGTCATTCACTTCAAGGTATATGAGGGACATTGCTGTGCATAAACGGGCTGCTGCATTTTGCCCACAAAATAGTCCATCCACTTTCCAATATATATCCATTGAAGTGCCTTCATATACTGCATTATCACATCTATAAACAACATGATAAGCACATAGTTGTCTAATAGAAAGAACCTGAATATTTTCTGTGTCTTGTCACAGAAGTACCTTAATGGCTGGTGGCAATTTGCACAGAGCAAAGATGTCGCAAACAGCCATAAGAAGAAATGAGGTAATTTTATCTGGAGAATCGTTGGCCGGGGTACTAGGGATATGATCCCTTTTTCCAAGTGTCTGGATGTTTTGACGTGCACCTGAACACCAGGCGCCCAGGAGGACGTCTGAGCAATAAATGATCTCACGGAGACGGTCACAAGTCATTCAGCAAAGCTGTGAGGTGATTTTGTTCAGGAAGGTTATTAAACCAGTGGGAAAGGAGTAGTGTAGATTCACTGGGATCTTACTGAGAAATCTGGGTATCAATTTTGAAGTGAAACTTGGAAGTTGGACTTTTTTTGTAATATGCAAGAAGCTTAAATGTGGAATTCTCTGCCCCAAAGCACTGTTGAATCAGAGTCTCAAACAGTCGTAGATTGATCCAATTAGTTATGGTGCTAACTCCCCACTGGAGCTGTGCCATCTGATTCCCTCGCTTTGTCCCTCGTCTGTGCTGGATCTCTCTCACTGCAATAAGACAAAACAGAGGTGGTTCCCACACCTGAGCCAATCTGTGGGTTTTGGAAACTCGCCTCTGCCCAGACATAGTAACAGTCAAAACATGACTGCAACCGAAAACACTGACAGCAATTAGCTAAACAAATTCAGCAGAAACGCATCAAGATTACCAGAGACCTTGTTTATTTGCTCAGTTGTCAGCTCGATTACCCCACAGCCAGAAGAATGTGGGTTCCCTCCATCGCAGTGAGAGATTAAACCGAGGTCCCATCTGCCTGTTCAGATAGATGTTAAAGTTCCCACTGCCACGGCTCAAAAAGAAGGGGGAGTTTCTCCCAGTGAGCTGCCTAACAATCTTGCTCATTAACTTTGTGGGACATTACTGCGTCCAAATTGGCTGCTTTGTTTGCCTACAAAATCTACAAACATTACACTTCATAATATATCCTGTGAAATGCTTTGCGACACCCGCCTGATTTTAAAGTGCAAGGATTATCTGGGGACTTTAACACTGCACCTGTGCGGTGTTCTCAGAGGTACCGCATTAATTCGTTCTCACCTTCAAGGCCTTCCGTGGCTTTTCCCCCCTCCTTCAGGAGGTTTGAGGTGTTCTAACGTGAACAGTGCAATGTGAAAAGTAAGTATTATAAAGCGAAGACGGTGTTACTGGGTGGAATTTCATGACTTGTGATTGGAAAGGTGAGGTGGGGAGTGATGAGAAGGAGCACAACTAACTGTTGAAAGTGTTGCTTACTACGCCCCCGGCTGGAAGACCGCGGGAGGTTTACTGGTAAGTGAACTTGCTCCACCCGGCTTCAGAACGATTGGGAAATCATGACATGATGGAGAAATATGGTCACTTTATTGCTCGTAATG